TCAGGCTGCTGGTCACCCGTGTGGCAGGAGGGGATGGGTGCAGGGGGCCCTGGGGAGAGCTGGCTCAGGGTCCAAAGACAGAGCGCTGAGCTGATAGGCTCCGTGATGTGGGAGTCGGAAGTGGCTTTAAGGGGTCCGGCCTGAACACAGGGACGATGGCGATCCCAGCAGGTGGGCATGGGGAAACAGAGCCATCCCCAAAGGGGGCACCTACAGATGTGGGGCTGGTGAGGCCACAAGGGGCATATGGGGCCCCCAGAGTGTGGCCATCTGTGTGGGAAACTGCTGGAAGAGCCTGAAAGGAAGCTGAGACTGCCCCCAGGTGCGTGTGGGTCCAGTGCCCTAACAAGGGCAGTGTGGAAGCTGGGCACAAAAGGAGTTCTTGCTAAGCAGAAGCAGAGAAACCAGGCAGCCAGGGCAGGGCGACAAGGGGCTCTCCAGGGATGCGAGGAGAGCACACAGACACCTTGGGGGCATCTGGCCAGGACAAGCCAAGGGGCCCGAGGGCATGTCACGGCTCCACAGATGGAAGCACTTTGGCTGGGGAGCATGAGGTGGCCTCAGAGGCCTCTGGGTTGGAGTAGATGTGGTCCCTGGGTGGGGAAGGCTTCAGGTGCTGGGCAGCCATGCGAGGGGCTGATTGGGCAGGGAGGGCTCCCTATCGGGGAGGGACCCCTGTCGCGGAGGGACCCCAGACCTCACTGGCTCCTCAAAGGAGTACTGGATCATGTCATAGGTCCGGCTCAAGTGAGTAAATACTCTCCCTTGGCCTTTCAGGAGCCGGACCTATGACATGATCCAGTACTATCAAAACGACATTCCCTACTGAGGAGGGGACCTCCTAGGCCCTCTGCCCTGTGTACCCTTGAAGCTGCCCCACAATCATGGAGCCCCTGACCTCCCCACCCTGCCGCCACATGCAGTGGAGAAGAGACCTACAGCCCGAAGAGCCTGGCGGCGCCCCCTAGAGCAGTGCGTGGGTGGCGCAGCCTTGGTAACCCAGTGGACTGCAGCGACAATCATTGGATGGTGCTGTTTATGCACAGGTGTGAGTCCTCTGTTTGCACTGGACATATTCCCTGCCTGTCTTATTTCATAGGTACATGAAGTATTTTCTTGTGTATAAAAAAATGATGGAAGATTTAACCAACGTCAACAAAATAAAAACCCAAAATAGTGTCACGTTGGAATTTGCGAGGTTTCATGTCAAATCTTAAGTGCACCTTCAGCCAATGGGTGGTTCCTGGATTTGCCCTAGAGAAGGAAGCCCAGTGTTGCCTGCACTCATAGGCTGGGACCCAGGAGCACGCGTTGTGGCTTAACAGGCATGAAATTCCCACAATCTCCTCACCATGGCACAGGTATACAAAAACACACACTTTTTCCTGACTGCTCTCCACCTGCTCCAAAGCTGTCTCCCTCAGGGCCGTGATGGGGGCCCGTCAGTGGCTCTCCACAGCATCCTCCCACTGCTCTAGTCTTTCCCTCGTTCTCATTTTCAAGTGGTGTGCTCTGGGATTCCACAATCTTTGTGTGACTAGACCCAGCAAGTGTTTCCTCCCACTCACCTAGGCCCTGCATCTGAAGCAGATAGATCTGAAACACATGAGAAACTCCAAAAGATTGCCTACACAGCAGGTAAGAAGAGAAAATCGGTAACCAGGAAGAACAGTGAAAGGACTGAAAATGGAGCGGGAAGGAAAGGAAAGCCAAGCGGAGTGGCTCGTAATCCCAGCACTTCGGCAAAGCAGGAGGATTGCTTGAGCCCAGGAGTTCAAGGCCAGCCTAAGCAGCAATGACGACCCTGTCTCTACAAAAAATGTTAAAATTAGCCACATGGTGGTGTATGCCTCTAGTCCCAGCTACTCAGGACGATAAGATGGGAGGACCACTTGAGCCCAAGAGCAAGGCTGCAGTGAGCTGTGGTTGTACCACTGTACTCCAGCCTGGGCGATGGGCTCAAATTTTAAAAAAGAGTTGAACAAGAAGTTGAATGAGAAGCTTCAAACGCTTCAATCAACTTTTTTCTTTTTTTTTTTTTTAAGATGGCCTCTCTCTGTCGCCCAGGCTGGAGTGCAGTGGCGCGATCATGGCTCCCTGCAACCTGTTTCCTGGGTTGAAGAGATTCTCCTGCCTTAGCCTTCCAAGGAGCTGGGATTACAGCCACACAACACCACACCCAACTAATTTTTGTACTTTTGTTAGAGAAGGGGTTTCTCCATGTTCGTGAGGCTGGTCTCAAACTTTTGGAGGCTGAGGCAGGAGAATCACTTGATCCACGCACTTTGCCTTGACCTCCCAAAGTGCTAGGATTACAGGCATGAGCCATGGCACCCAGCCTCAATCAACTTCTAATGGGATTTCCAGAGTTGAAAAACACAAATATTTAGCTTTAGGAAGCACACCTGAGTACTGGGCAGTACAAATAAAAATAAATATAGGCTGGGCACAGTGGCTCACCTGTATAATCCCAGCACTTTGGGAGGCTGAGGCAGGTGGATTGCCGAAGTCCAGCAGTTTGAGACCAGCCTGAGCACCATGGTGAGACCCCATCTCTACAAAAAATACAAAAATTAGCCAGGCATGCTGGCACAAGTCTGTAATCCCAGCTACTTGGGAAGCTGAGGTGGGAGGATCACTTGAGCCAAGGAGGTGGAGGTTGCGGTGAGCCCAAGATTATGCCATTGCACTCCAGCCTGGGTGGCACAGTGAGGCTCTCAATAAAAACTACGAGTCAATGTATAAGTTAAAAGGAGTTTTAGGCCAGGCGCGGTGGCTCACGCATGTAATCCAAGCACTTTGGAGGCCAAGGTGGGCAGATCACCTGAGGTCGGGAGTTCAAGACCAGCCTAACCAACATGGTGAAACCCCGTCTATTTAAAAAAAAAAGGAGTTTTGAGCAGCAGGGAGGGGGAGAAAAAAAGAAAAAAAAAAAAGTTTTAAAAGATACTAATCCAAAAGAAGGCAGAAGAGAAACATAATAGACTCACCACCTCAATTTAGAAGCCAGGAATTGTAAACATCAATTGAAGAAGTGAGACCCAATTATGTGCTGATGATAACCAAAGCACTTCACAAATGAAGACATAGACCTAGGATAAAAATAAACAGATGGAAAAAGACTGGCATCCATAATCATCACGTGTATGGGTATTTATGGAGCATTTCACAATAAGCAGTTGACAGAGTCACCAGCAAGAAAGTAAACACAGGAGACGTGAACAAGCCTGTTACCCACCTGGACCTGCTGGGTATTTATAAAACACTGTCAACAGCAGCAATACACTTTCTTCTCAATGTTCATTACAAGTTATGTGCTGGGTCATAATACTGAGATAGAATTAAAATCGTGCAGAGGGTGTTCTCTGGCCACAGTGGAAATTATAAATAACAGTAAGATACCTGAAAAAATGTCAAGAACAGTGGAACTAAAATACTAAACAAAAAATAGCACATGTGGACCAGGTGTGGTGGCTCAGCTGTAATCCCAGCACTTTGGGAGGCCAAAGCAGGAGGATCACTTGAGTCCAAGAGTTTGACACCAGGCTGGGCAATATAGTGAGATCCCATCTCTTATTTAAAAAAAAAGAAAAAAAAAAAAAAGGCCAGGCATTGTGACTCACACCTGTAATCCTAGCACTTTGGGAAGCCGAGGCTGGTGGATCACTGGAGGCTAGGAGCTTGAGACCAGCCTGACCAACATGGAGAAACCCTGTCTCTATTAAAAATACAAAATTAGCCAGGTGTGGTGGTGCAGGCCTATAATCCCAGCTAGGAGGCTGAGGCAGGAGAATCACCTGAACCCAGGAGACAGAGGTGGTGGTGAGCTGAGATCACATCATTGCACTCTGGCCTGGGCAACAAGAGTGAAACTTCATCTAAAAAAAAAAACAAAAAAAAAAAACGCAAGGCTGGGCATGGCTGCTCACCCCTGCAACCCCAGCACTTTGGGATGCCGAGGCAGGTGGATCACTTGAGGTCAGGAGTTTGAGACCAGCCTGGCCAACATGGTGAAACCCTGTCTCTACCAAAAATATAAAAAATGAGCTAGGTGTGATGGCGAGTGGCTGTAATCCCAGCTATGCAGGAGGCTAAGGCAGAAGAATCGCTTGAACCCAGGAAGCAGAGGTTGCAGTGAGCCAAGATCGTGCCATTGCATTCCAGCCTGGACAACAGAGCTAGACTCCATCTCAAAAAAAAGAAGAAAAAAGCACATGTGATCAGAGGGAAAGACCAGCATTAAAATGCTTTAAGGTAGCCAGGTGTGGTGGCTCACGCCTGTAATCCCAGCACTTTGGGAGTCTGAGGCGGGTGGATCACAAGGTCAAAAGATCGAGACCATCCTGGTCAACATGGTGAAACCCAATCTCTACTAAAAGTACAAAGAATTAGCTGGGCATGGTGGCGCGTGCCTGTAATCCCAGCTACTCAGGAGGCTGAGGCAGGAGAATTGCCTGAACCCAGGAGGCGGAGGTTGCGGTGAGCCGAGATCTTGCCATTGCACTCCAGCCTGGGTAACAAGAGTGAAACTCCGTCTCAAAAAAAAAAAAAAAAAATACAAAAATTAGGCTGGCATGGTGGTGCACACCTGTAATCCTAGCTACTTGGGAGGCTGAGGCAGGAGAATTGTTGAACGCGGGAGGCAGAGGTTGCGGTGAGCCGAGAACATGTCATTGCACTCCAGCCTGGGCGACAGAGCGAAACTCTGTCTCAAAAAAATAAAAATAAAATGCTTTAAGGTGTTGTTTTGGGGAAGATGACAGTGATCAGCTGAGTTCATGGAGTAAGAATACCAGAATACAGAGTGGCTTCCCAAATAAACAGAAGGAAAGGAGATCACTGAAAAATCAGGATCAACGTGTTATAAAATGGTAGACACAATTTCAAATCACAATACTTGAAAAAGGCAGCTTGTCAAATTGGCAAAGAAAAAGTTTGGCCTGCACCACCACACCTGGCTAATTTTGTATTTTTAATAGAGACAGGGTTTCTCCATGTTGGTCAAATGCCATGTACAAGTTTCTGGCAATATGGCAAATTATATATCCTGAAAAACTAAAAATGCTGTTTACAGTACTGGGGAGGGGGAATCTTAAATCCATGAGCTGTAAGAAAGGAAGGAGTCTTTTGAGGCTAAAAAAAAAGTCAAGATCCTACATGACATGAAGATGACAAATCCACGAGCCTCATCCCTTTGAGGAGTTTATCAGGCCACCTTGGTCTACACTCTCAGGAGAAGGGTGTACTAGAAATAAAGCCAGGTGCCCCAGAGTCCACCCAGAGACAGACGCGGGCGGCTGGGGCGCTGCGCTTAGGTGGGCAGCAGTCCGTTCCCACGCAGTTCCAGCAGCGGAGACAGCGTGTAGCGCAGGCGGCGTAGTGTGGTCTCCGAAGTGAGGCTTCGGAGCCACGCGGAGACGGCGCCGGCGTCCAACAGCAGCTGGTAGAGCAGCGACAGCCCCAGGAAGAAAAGCGGCAGCGTCAGGAGCACCTGCAGCACGCCCAGCACGCACCGCCTGCCGGGCAACAGATGGGTAGGTGGGCGGCGGCTCGGGCGGGGACTGGGAGACCCCGGCCGTGCCCTCCGCCGGGTTCACCTGATGGCCTGCGCGCGCGGGCCGCCGAACAGCCGCATCTCCTGCGGGGAGAGGGGGGTAGGTTTCCAGCGGGAGGGGAAGGCGGTCCCAAAGAGGGATGGAGAGGGTTGTCCTGCTCCAGCCCGCCCCGCCCAGGCCCGCACGGGCGCTCACTCGGTCCGCCCGGGCCACCTCCTCCATGAGCGACTTGGTGCTATACTGCACTCCGCAAAGCTGCCCGCCACACCTGCGGGAACGCATGCAGGTGGGAGCGCGGCCCGCCCCACAGCGCCCCGCCGCGCCCGCAGGCCCAACTCCCTTACGGTTCCTGGCCACTCTGCCAGGCGTCCAGCTCCTCCGCCGCCTCCATCACCTTCACCTGCACCTCCTGGAGCGGGTGAGAATGCGGACTGAGGCCTCGGGGAGGCGTCCTGGCGGCGGGTTGAGAGACCTGCCGCCGCAGGTCTTGGGGAGGAGAGGCGGAAGGCACCGTGGCGTCCGAGCGGAGCCGCACCTGCAGGACTATGGTCTGCTCCTGGAATATGGCCCAGGCCTCCGCTGTCTGCAGCGCGCCCTGCGTGTGGACACCCGGATTAGACTCGGGGTGACACGCCCCTCCCACCCACACTCGAAAGCAGACCCTCCTCCGACAGAACCCGCTTCTGGCCGCACCTGCTGCAGCTTCTCCTCCTGCAAGGCGTACTTGGTCTCCGCCAGCCCCAGTTGATTCTTGAGAAAGACGAATGTCAGGAGTCCCGGAGCCTGACACCCCGCTGCACCTCCGGGCCCTGACCCCGGCCCTCAGCGCCCCACCCCGAGGCGATCATGACCCCGCCCACGTTCTCAGGACCGGAGTAAGCGACGCCCCAGGTTGTCGCGGCCCCGCCCCTGTGCTCCGCCCACATCACCGCCCGCCCCGCCCACCCCTTCAGGGCCTGCAGTTAGGCGACCCCCAGGTGGTCACTGCCGGGCTCAGGCTACTGCGCCCCTACTCAAGACCTCAGGACCCCGCCCAAGCACCTGCAGAGTCACCAATTGGGCTGCGATTTGCTGCTCCGTGCGCTTCTGGCTCTGCTGTTCCCCTCCGTAGTAGAAGAGCTAGGGGCGGGGCTTGTAAACAGGGTTTACCGGGCTTCTGGAGGAGCGGGTGTCGTGGGGGACAGGGACAGGGAGGTAACAAGGGCGAGGACCAGGGCAGGACTTCCAAGAGGAACCCAGAGACAAGCCATCCCATCTCCTGCACGTACCTGACTCGACAGCTCCTCCCACTGCTCCTGCAGCTGCCGGTTGCGCTGCTCCTGCGGACAGGATCCTGGGGCGGTGCTGGCCTCTCCGCCGGTCCCACCCCACCCTACCGCCGGATCACCCCCGCCATGCCGCACCCCACCATGGTTCCGGCCCCATTCCTGGGTTCTTCCTCACCAAGTCCTCCTTGTGGCGCTGCGCCTCCTCCAGCCTTCTGCGCACCCGCTCTGCGCGCTCCCGCGCAGCCTCTTGGGCCTCCCTTGGCAGAGCCTGCGCTGTCTGGCTTCGCCTGCGCAGCAGGCTGCAGAGCGAAACTGAAATTGGCGCTACAAGGCGGACTGGGTCGCTCAGGGTCCCGCAGTTGCCGGGAAGGACCAGATGCAGTTCACGATCGGGGACCGGAAAGCCCTAGCGAAATCCTCCACCTGGATCCACTGGGTGGATCGCCCGTTCCCAGGGGCGCAGAGCGGAGATGGGGGTCTGGGCGGACCGGCCTAGTACCCTGCGAAGCCCTTCGCAGCGCTGCCTGCGGGACCGACCCTAGCGCGCCAGCCCGCCCGCTAGAGCGGCGCTCCCCGCGCACCTGCGCTCGCACTCGCTCAGGTCCTGCAGGCGCCGGTTGAGGCTCTCGCTCTCGGCCTCGAGCCCGCGCATCAGCTTCTCTAGCTCCTGCTTCCGCAGGCGACCATCTCGGTTATCCTTCTGCAGCTGCAGCAGCAGCTCCTGAGTCTCGGCCATGGCTGTGGAGACGGTGCCTAAATGCCAGCCGCCTGGGGGACCCAGCCTGCTGGCAGACGTCACAATGGGCGGCAGGGGGCGCCAAGAGGGCTACGTCACAATGGGCGGCAGAGGGAGCCCGAGCACAGCCCCATACCTGCCCCTGCTCACACTGGCCGGATCACACTTAGTTGAAAATGTGGGCCGGGCGCGGTGGCTCAAGCCTGTAATCCCAGCACTTTGGGAGGCCGAGGCGGGTGGATCACGAGGTCAAGAGATCGAGACCATCCTGGTCAACATGGTGAAACCCCGTCTCTACTAAAAATACAAAACATTAGCTGGGCATGGTGGTGCGTGCCTGTAATCCCAGCTACTCAGGAGGCTGAGGCAGGAGAATTGCCTGAACCCAGGAGGCGGAGGTTGCGGTGAGCCGAGATCGCGCCATTGCACTCCAGCCTGGGTAACATGAGTGAAACTCTGTCTCAAAAAAAAAAAAAAAAGAAAGAAAATGTGTCAAAGAGCCGCAATTGGATCAACGAAGGGTTAATAAAATACTAATACTGGGGCCGGACACAGTGGCTCACGCCTGTAATCCCAGCACTTTGGGAGGCCGAGGCAGGCGGATCACTAGGTCAAGAGATCGAGACTATCCTAGCCAACGTGGTGAAACCCCATTTATACCAAAATACAAAAATTAGTTGGGCTTGGTGGCGTGCACCTGTAGTCCCAGCTACTCAGGAGGCTGAGGCGGGAGAATCGCTTGAACCCGGGAGGCAGAGGTTGCAGTGAGTTGAGATGGTGCCACTGTACCATCTCAGCAAGAATCTGTCTCAAAAAAAAAAAAAACTGATACCGAATGCAGGCAAGTTTGGTTCCCCCACATGGCGGATGGCACTTGCAAACTGATCGATCTCGTGTGGAAAAGACTTATAAATAAATACTAGGAGGCCGGGCGCGGTGGCTCACGCCTGTAATCCCAGCACTTTGGGAGGCCGAGGCGGGTGGATCACGAGGTCAAGAGATCGAGACCATCCTGGTCAACATGGTGAAACCCCGTCTCTACTAAAACTACAAAAAATTAGCTGGGCATGGTGGCGCGTGCCTGTAATCCCAGCTACTCAGGAGGCTGAGGCAGGAGAATTGCCTGAACCCAGGAGGCGGAGGTTGCGGTGAGCCGAGATCGCGCCATTGCACTCCAGCCTGGGTAACAAGAGCGAGACTCTGTCTCAAAAAAATAAATAAATAAATAAATACTAGGATCCATAAATATGTTCATATCTTTTGACCCAATTATCCCTCTCCTGGGAACTTATCCAGGAAGGAAAAAAAAAAATTTAAACACATTATGCCATTAAATGGTTCACTGAAGTGGTTACAGTAACCACAAAAAAAGGAAACAATTGTAATGGTTGAAATCATGTGATGCGTTTGGTTATTCTGTGGCGTGCCTGTGCCTAGAGCTATGAGGATGTCTAGTGAAAAAGTGGAAACTGATTTAGCATTTATGTTCAGGTAACTAAAATTATAAAAATACACGAGCAAGGCCCGGCACGGCGGCTCACGCCTGTAATCCCAGCACTTTGGGAGGCCGAGGCGGGTGGATCACGAGGTCAAGAGATCGAGACCATTCTGGTCAACATGGTGAAACCCCGTCTCTACCAAAAATACAAAACATTGGCTGGGCATGGTGGCGGGTGCCTGTAATCCCAGCTACTCAGGAGGCTGAGGCAGGAGAATTGCCTGAACCCAGGGGGCGGAGGTTGTGGTGAGCCGAGATCGTGCCATTGCACTCCAGCCTGGGTAACAAGAGCGAAACTCGGTCTCAAAAAAAAAAAAAGCCGGGCGCGGTGGCTCAAGCCTGTAATCCCAGCACTTTGGGAGGCTGAGGCGGGTGGATCACGAAGTCAAGAGATCGAGACCATCCTGGTCAATATGGTGAAACCCCGTCTCTACTAAAACTACAAAAAATTAGCTGGGCATGGTGGCACGTGCCTGTAGTCCCAGCTACTCAGGAGGCTGAGGCAGGAGAATTGCTTGAACCCAGGAGGCAGAGGTTGCGGTGAGCCGAGATCGTGCCATTGCACTCCAGCCTGGGTAACAAGAGCGAAACTCCATCTCCAAAAAAAAAAAAAATACATGAGCAAGATCTGTAAAGGAAACAAGAATGAGGAAAGAAACCCCTCTTCCTGTCTCTTGTCTCAAAGGAGGAAGTAAAAGTTGAGACATAGCAGGCATGAGGTCAGTGGTCTGGAGGTTAAAGATTAAACCCCCCCCTTTAAGGTCCTCAGGCGATCTTAAGGGTGGGGCTATATGGAGAAACGCCCTCTATTGTTCCCATTCAATCTTGCTCAAACCCCCACACTTACTTCATCCATCACGACCCCCTCACATGTACTTTCTAAAACTGTAAACCCAAGACCCTGTCACATGAATATCTAGAGTTGGGAGCCTATATAAAGGTAGAGGTGTCCTTCCTTAGACAAGTGTGGCTGTTAGGTGACCATACCACCTACTCCCAGCCGAATAAATCACCCCTTCCTTCCCAGTTCGGTGTTTGAGAGGCCTTTTGTACAGCTGCTCCTGCTTCAAGAGGAAGATAAGCTCTTCCATTGTTTGGTGAGACTGTAGGTGAACTCATCCTTTTATTATTTTTTAGAGACAGGGTCTTGCTCTGTCACCCAGGTTGGAGTGCAGTGGCGAAATCAAGGCTCGCTGCAGCCTCAATCTCTCAGGCTCGAGTGAACCTTCCACCTCAGCCTCCCAACTTGCCCTTTTAAAATCTGCCTTTGTCTAGTTACAAGTATGGACTTGGATGCAAAAATCCAAAATAAATTACAAAATCTAAAGAGAAACAAAAAGAAAATTGATGGAAACCAAGCAGAGTTTATTCCAGGGATTGTTCAACATCAGAAAGTCAGTGTTGTTCACCATATGGGCAAGCAGGGAAGAACTCCACCAACTCAGTGGGGCACTTCAATAGACGCGGAAAATATGATACAGTTCACCATCTATTGACAATTCTAAAAGCTCTTACAAAAGGGAGAGATAGGCCGGGCGTGGTGGCTCATGCCTGTAATCCAAGCACTTTGGAGGCCAAGGCGGGCAGATCACCTGAGGTTGGGAGTTCAAGACCAGCCTGACCAACATGGTGAAATCCCGTCTTAAAAAAAAAAAAGAAAGGGAGAGATAGGCCGAGCATGGTGACTCACGCCTGTAATCCCAGCACTTTGGGAGGCCGAGGTGGGCAGATCATGAAGTCAGGAGTTTGAGACCAGCCTGACCAACATGTTGAGACCCCGTCTCTACTAAAAATAAATAAATAAATAAAAATAACCAGGCGTGGTGGCACCCACCTGTAATCCCAGCTACTCAGGAGGCTGAGGCAGAAGAATTGCTTGAACCCGGGAGGTGGAGGTTGTAGTGTGCCCAGATCGAGCCACTGCACTCCAACCTGGGAGACAGAGCGAGACTCCGTTTCGGGAAAAAAAAAAAAAAAAAAAAAAAAAAGGGTAGGGGAGAGATAAAAGGACTCTCTAGCCTGATAAAGTCCAACGTAAACATTATAGCAAACTGGAAGTATTAGTAGTGTATGCTGTTTTTCTCTCTTTCCTTTTCTTTAGAGTCAGGGTCTTGCTGTCACCCTGCCTGGAGTGCAGTGGCACTATCAAAGCTCACTGCAGCCTCACACTTCAGGGCTCAAGTGATCCTACTGCCTCTCAGCCTGTTAAGAAGTAGAGGCCGGGCACAGTGTCTCATGCCTGTAATCCCAGTACTTTGGGAGGCCAAGGCGGGCTGATCACAAAGCCAGGAGTTCGAGACCAGCCTTGTCAACATAGTGAAACCCTGTCTCTACTAAAAATCCAAAAATCAACTGAGCATGGTGGCAGGTGCCTGTAATTCCAGCTACTTGGGAGGCTGAGGCAGGAGAATTGCTTGAACCTGGGAGATGGAGGCTATAGTGAGTGGAGACCATGCCATTGCACTCCAGCCTGGCTGACAGACGGAGGCTCCATCTCAAAAAAAAAAAAAAAAAAAATGTAGTAGTAAGGATCCAAGCACAGTGGCTCACGCCTGTAATCCCAGCACTTTGGGAGGCCAAGGTGCATGGATCGCCTGAGGTCAGGAGTTCAAGACCAGCCAGACCAACATAGTGCAACCCTGTCTCTACTAAAAATACAAAATTAGCTGAGTATGGTGGTGGCGTGTGCTTGTAATCCCAGCTATTGGAGGCTGAGGCAGAAGAATCGCTTGAACCCAGGAGGCAGAGGTTGCAGTGAGCCGAGATCGTCCCATTGCACTCCAGCCTGGGCAACAGAGTGAAACTCTGTCTCAAAAAAAAAAAAAAAAATGTAGTAGGAAAGCTTGAAGAATCTGTATGCCCAGTTGATTGTCTACCAACCTGGGTTTTTTGGTTTTTTTGTTTTTTTTTGGAGAGAGAATCTCACTCCATCACCCAGGCTGGAGTGCCGTGGCATGATCTTGGCTCACTGCAACCTCTGCCTCCTGGGTTCAAGCGATTCTTCTGCTTCAGCCTCCCAAGTAGCTGAGACTACAGGCACCTGCTACCACACCTGGATAACTTGTATTTTAGTAAAGACGGGTTTCACCATGTTGGTCAGGCTGCTCTTGAACTCCTTACCTCAGGTGATCAACCTGCCTCGGCTTCCCAAAGTGCTGGGATTACAGGCATGAGCCGCTGCACCCAGCCACCTACCAACCTCTTAAAGCTGCTCGCTCTCTCCCTTCTTGCTAATACAAGCCCCTTAGTTTATTTCTTTGCAAGAATCTTGCTCTTCTGGGAAGCCAGGCCCATCCTCTCCTAGCCCCAGGTGTAAAGCAGGACTGACCTAAACCAGTCATGGATATCTTACTTCCCTTGTGGAATTCTGCCTCTGAAACTCAAGGGAAACTTGGCTGGGGGCTTCTGGGAGGTTTTTGTTTCTGCAGAAGGAGACGATGGGAGCAACACTGTCTTTGTTGCCTACTGGGTTTGTAGGTGATGCCTGGAACTGCTCTAGCCACCTTGTAACCATGAGGGACCTAAAAGAGCAAGTCAATATGCTGTATCTTGTGCGTCTCTTTAGGGACCTGGGAGCTCCCACCTCTCATGGGCACAAATGCTCTTTCCTAAGGCAGCCAACAGCACATGGGAATAGAACCAACACCAAACTATGGGGCAAGGAGGATTTGAGATGGTCCTAGGACCACATGACAACTTGTGCTGAAAAAAGTGGCTTG